CCCCCTATCACCAGGCACTTGGCGGTAGCCGACCCCCAGGGCCAGACGCTTCAGCCCTGGCCTTGAGCAGGTATGGTTTTACTGCAGGGTTTAGGGTTTAGGGCCCTAAACCCTAAACAATAAACCCTAGACCCTCCAACGTATTACTTTTTTGTTAGTCCTAATAAGCATCCTAAGCAAAAAACCATACCAAACCAAAAAAGGAATTACATTGAGGGTCTAGGTAGGGTTTAGGGGTTGGGGTTCAGGGTTTCTAGGGTTTCTACGGTTTAGGGTTTCTAGGGCTTAGGGCTTAGGTTTTAGGATTGAGGATATAGGACTTAAGTTTTAGGGCTTAGGGTTTAGAATTTAGGATTTAGGATGTAGGGCTTAGAGTTTAGGGTTTAGGATATAGGATTCGGGTCTAGGGCTTAGGGTTTAGGATTTAGGACTTAGGCGTTAGGGCTTAGGGTTTTGGATTTTGGGCTTAGGTTTAGGGCGTAGAGCTTTGGTTTTAAGATTTAGGGTTCAGGGTTTAGGGCTTAGGGTTTAGGATGTAGGCTCTAGGACTTAGGGTTTAGGATTTAGGGTTTAGCGGTGCCTGGTAGATGATGAAGGAATGAAAAGAAACATGGAAGCTGCCATTTAGGGTTTAGGGCTTTGGGATCCCGGTGGCCAGCACGTAATGCTATGTGAGCCATAGTCTAAACTCCTTAAAGGGGGGTTATATACGGGATTATATAGGGAACTACTATAGGGGTTATTAAGAGGGATACTAGGAGTTTAGACTATGGCTCATGTTGCTCCAATAATGAGAATCAAATGGAAAAGAACGTGGAAACAGGGATTACATCGTGTTTGGGAAGGAACATGGCAGGTATTAGGCTACTATTCAGGTTTTAGGGTCTAGGGAATCGGCAAATCACATTAAGAAGCAACTGGAAAGCGACACGGAAAACGATGTTATGGGGATAGATAGGGTCTATGGTTTCTTGCAGATGGTTAACAAGGGATGATTGAATGCACAAGAAAATGGAAACTGGTATGTTGCTTGTAAGGTTAGGGGCTTAGGGTCTAGGTCATATTTTGTCCCAGGTCATTGCTGAATCGCTTTATTAACAATATGTCGGGATACTTTGTGAAATTCATAGTATTGCTATACCAGAGCCCAAGAAGGAAGGCAGGGCTGTAGCTGTTTCATAGCATCCCACCATGAACCGGTTTCATAATTGGTGGTTTGTCGGAATGAAAGGGAAATGAGGCTGGACACTGCCACAGAGTTTCAGGCTTAGGGTTAAGGGTCAGTTTGGCCTTTGGTTGGGGCACGAAGGACGTGGTGTTGAGGCCAAAGGGACGATTCTAAGAGAATATTGAGAGGCTACGACGGCAATCCATTCCTCCCTGCCCTATTGCCGATGTTATAGTTCTAGGTTCCCAGTATACTTATCATATGGTGCACTTCAAAAAGATGCCAAAATGATATGTAACGTGCCTTCATTACATAATCCCGATATAAGCCTCGAAAAGCCCAGTTTCCATTTGATTTTTCATGTTCTTTTCCATCAGATTTCCCTTGTTATTGCTTCATAGCCCTAAGCCCTAAACCCCACTGGATTATGGAGAAAAGGTTCCATAACAAGACAAAAAAGCGTGTGTGTATATATATATATGTACACATATATATGTATATATCATATAATATACTGTAGCATCCTGCGCTCGCTGTGACCCATTCCTAGGCTGGTACTGATGCTGCGGGTGGGGCAGGCCGTTTTCTGGGTTTCTCCATTACCCGGAAGGGTCCAAGTACCCAAATGAGATGTAGGGGATTGAATGGGGGAGTATAACAGGGCTTATGAAGGGGGATACTTGGAGGTTAGACTGTGGCTCAAATATTGTAATCTAAATAGTATTTGAGACCTGAAGCCCGTACTCGGACCCTCCAGGGTTCAGTTTTGGGTCTGTTCAGGCTTGTTAAGGTTCTGGCAAGACATCAGTGCATACCCCCAAAATTGATCTACATAGGGAGACCTGTTGTAAGGTTGCGAATTTCTCAACATTGGATGCCCCTTGCGGGGGTTACTTCCTCACCTGAGGAACCCCTTTTGACGGGAGCTGTTGAAAAATGAAGTGGTGATGGCTCAGATAGTTTCAGTCAAGAATCAGGGGGTTTAGGGTTTAGGGGTTCCTATATTCAGGATTCTAGTAGCTGGTGGTCTGTTCTTGAACACCCGTTTATAGAAACCAACATATGAATATGGACCTCGTGGCAATGGCAAGCTAGTCAAGCCTCAACATGGTAGTTCAAGTGAGACTACATTAAGTTGGAAGACAGGCTAGCGCGGCGCGGCGACCCAAACCTTAAACTCTAAACCCCCAACCCTAAAACAGCTTGGTACCCCTCAACGGTAGAGGCCGCAATAGAATCTATAACCAAAAGGTGCCCTTGGTTTTGAAAGTGTTTCCTAAAAATAGGGGTACCTTCTTGGGGTCCCAATAATGAGGACTATCGTATTTTGGGGTCTATATTGGCATCCGCTTATTTAGGGAAGCTACGTGAGCTTACACCTCACATGTTTCTGCCGCAACACATGTGAGCTATAGTCCAAACTCCTTAAAAGGAGTCATATAGGCGACTATATTGGGTTTAGGGCTTATAGGGTTGTCTAAAGTCTTTTGATATAGGGGAGTAGTAAGGTGGTTACTCAGGGGAATACTAGGAGTTTAGATTATAGCTCATGTGGAACTGTCAGACAGGCCGAAAGAAGACCACCGCCTTGTCAAAATGCACATTTATAGTCCTCCTTAAGCAGATAGAATATAGGGATAATGGAAAAGAAAATGGAAACTACTATAGTATATTGGGGTTATATAGAGTTATATAGGGATAGAGTCCCCCTCAAGCAGATAGAATTTGGCTTTGGGTATATTATAATAAGATCCCCTATACCCCACATTCTATCTACTTAAGGGTGACTATATCAGGTTCCATGCTTGCTTAGGGAGGGTAAGAGCACGGTGCTTGCCTTTGGAGGGAAGTGTGAGTGCGCCGTGCCTGCGTTTGCAGGCATGATCCCAATGGGCTCCCTGAGCGGTTCCCTCAGCAAGTTCACTGCCGCCAATGGTGTGGAACTGCCCAAGGTGTTTTTTGGTAACTTTTGGGAGGGACATGCAGGATGCCCCTATAAGATGTCTTACCGTTTCATACTAGGCTACGTGTTGCACCAAAGAGCTGCAAAAAGAACACCCTGAACATAACTTGAGCATGCATGGAGGGCACGGTGCAATACGCGAAGCAGACTCATGCAGTGCCGTAGTCCTAAAGGATAGAGACTCCCAGAGAAACGGCTGTTACTTCTTGGAAGCAACCAAACAAAAACCTTCATAGCTGAGCTTGTGCTCCTTAAGGCTCCGCCACTGCTGCCGTGGGGAGCTGAGTCTTCGGCTTCATGCAGACTACGGTGGATTCTAGAAATCCTGCATGACCCTAAGTACCGTATACCTTGGGAATTATGGTACTATAGTATATTAAGGTCATGAAAATTTTTTTAGTATCAACAGTATGTCATTTGCTGGATGTGATGGTATTTCAAGTGGTACTCAAAAATGAAGGTAGCCTTTCCGGGCCACAAGGACATATCATGGGGGCCTACAAAGAGATTATGGGGCCCCTAGTCAGGATTCTGTAAGGAGCGTCTTGAGAAAGTCCCACGTGGGAATGATGCACCCGGCGATGAGGCTAAAGCGTCTGGTCCCATGCCCAGTTGCTCAAAAGCGCAGTTCAGCCTCAGAATGTGATGTTATGTCGCTGTTGCTGCGCAGGGGTCATTGGGAATTCTACCCATCTAGGGATTCGAAAAGGGGATGCATCAGCACCATGTACCTCACAAATCATGTCGGAATGCGACATTGCTATGCCTGTAAGAACCTGTAGATGGAGGGAAAGCGTCAGCATGTCCAGTCGAAGGCTCCCACACCTAAACTCTGAGGCACTGCTCCTGCAGCAGCGACAGAGGTGGGTGAAGCCTGTTTTGAGTACCGATGTAACATCACGTGTCTCAGTTTTGGACAGGTTCTCCGCAAATCACGTGTGTTTCCCTGATTCTCCTTCATGTACAGGACATTCGGGTTCCTTCGAGGGCCCAGAAGCTTCCCGAAGTAAGTCTACTCGCCGTCCGGGTAGCTGGGACTTAAGCCCATTTAACGCTTGGCTGTGCCTTTACCATGTTTCACGCACCATCACTGCTGATTGCGCACATGCTACTGCTCTACTGACACCCTAAAAAACACAGCCTCCAAAACCAACCAACCCTTAACCAATGGCCCTGAGCCCAAAACGTCATAAACTCTCATGAAGCCCCAAGCCCCGAACTCTAAGATCTTCTTCTTAAAAATCATGGGGGCCTTGTGTCAGGCAGCAACCCCAAAAGCTTCTGCGCGCCTGCCTCAGATAAGGGTTTGGGTTTACGGTTGTGAAACAGCCCCCAAGCTCCGGAAGTCTTCTGGGCTCAGAGGTCTCTTGGAAATGCCAAGCTTAGGCGATTCCCTTCACCCAAAAGAAGTACTTTCTAAAGCTCAAACATATCCGCTAGTTTTGTTGGGCGGAAAATGCGCCGACTCGTATTGGCCATATGACATTTGGACTTGCAGTCCAAGGCCCGAGAAGCCTGCCGATAGCGAGGTCGCTGAGGCTGGTCAGCTGCTGGTGCTCCCCATATGAGCTATAGTCTAAAACGTTTTTAAGGGGGCTATATAGGGGATTAGATAAGGGACAATAAAAGGGACTACTACAGGGGTTATTAAGGGGGATACTAGGAGTTTAGACACTGGCTCGTATCCGTGTCTGCGGAGGGCTGTACTCTACGCTCAAACGTTAGGTGCCTTACTTGACAACTCTTCTCCCTGCAAACCCTGAACCTTAAACCGTATACCTGTGCCCACTACAGGATACCTTGATAACCGGACTGCTCCAACCTTGCCGTCAGGTGGGGAAAGTGGGCAAGGAAGCCCTTGACCCTCTGATGCCTATAGCCGAGCAGTCTTGTTTGGTTATTCAGGGGTTTGTGTGTCATCAGCAGGGCGCAAAATGGTTGGGACTCAAGTCTGAATAGTGGTCATTGAGAAATCTACTTGAAAGCATGAAATGGCTTCTCCGCTGCCCTTTTTGCCAGCCACTCGCACACAATGGAGGGTTCGACTTTATCGTGTCTCCTGCAAGATTCCAGACGGCTACCTGGTTGACACATTTTGCGCCAGCACCACTGGCACCACCGCCAGCACCACCAGCGGCAGTGGCAGGCTTGCTGCTCCCAGCAGGAGCAGCAGCCACAGCTGTTATAAAAGCGCGCAAGCAGCACTCACTGCCGCCACAGCCACACCCACCATCACTACCAACGCCACTAGCGCCACTGCCTCAACCTCACCCTTACCCTCAGCCCCACCACCACCTCCCTCCACCTCCCTCCACCTCCCTCCACCTCCCTCCACCTCCCTCCACCTCCCTCCACCTCCACCACCCCCACCTACTCTGAATTAGTTTGGATGTGCATGGCCATTGCTTTGCCAGGTCATTCCCAATCAGGGTGAGGATAGCCGACCAGTGCCCAAGCAGGTCGCGGCATTCTTGTGCCGGTTTCTTAAGAGTTCACGGAGGGGAGCGTGTCTAGTTGCCAGCTGGAGTTCAAGCATGGAACCCTGCTAAAAGAATCCAGTCTTCATAGGGCGCCTTGCTGATTCCATGTTAGGCTTGGGAAGGGTAGGTGGGACAAGCCTGGATAGCTACCTTTGAAATCATACTCGTGGTCCCTTGCGTGTGGCCTTGATGGTTCACTGCGGGGGCCGGGGCTAACGGCTTCTTGGCGTCAGCATGAGATTGGAGTTCTTTCGTAATAACGCAAAAGCCTGACCCCCAAAAATTGTAGGGTGCCTTCCCTGATCTTCTGTGAAAGTGACTAATAATAGACCAATTCCAGAGGCGCCCCAATGCTTTCTTCTGACGTCTAGGCTTCTCGCAAGGACGTGCCGGAACCATGGTTCGCTTCCGGGGTTCTTTGCCATCATGAGGTTTGGGGGGGCATTACCGCTTCGGCCCAAACCAGATCATGAGGCATTGTCGCTGCGCAGTTCTCAATTGCAGGTGCAATGCTTGGAAAACGGAACAGACCTCTTCAAAATGTTCGAGGCTGCGGCAAGAAGAAGTTGTTTTGACCAGTAGCACCAGTCTTGCTGTCGTTTTTCACAGGCTGTCGGTAGGGCTTTGCTTACAAAAACTAGGGCCTATGACGGCTCCTTTTTGGGGCGGGTACTTGGGCACCTCCTTGTGTAAGTGTTGTATATCTCAGCCTCGTGTAGAGAAATAGTGTCTCATTCAGGTGGACATGAACAAGTTTGATTCCTCGCAAGTCCGGAAGTCGTACCACAAGATGGTGCGGTGCTCAGATTGGCCGACGTATTGAACGCCACTTGGGGACCTTGCGGGCGGAAAACGATGAAGGAAGGACGTAGGCTTGCCGACAGTCCTACAAGCTTGAGCATGCACCCTGCATCTGAAGCCAAGATTTTTTGCGCTGCATGGATCCACGCCAAGGCGACTTTTGTACATCCGGACAAGCTTGGTCGAGAGCCTACGGATGCCGACCGTGCTCGCGCTGCTGCCGCTTTGGGATCTGTAATGCTTAGGCCTAGGGATTGATGACCATGCCGTATGTCTGGTTTCTTGGGTGTGCATGCTCGCCGCTGCCTCTTCCCCACACTGCCTAGGTGCTATAATGTTCACGCACAGCGAACATTTTTCATCGTAGGGGAGGGCCGTGTTCACTAGCGTCGGCGTCGGGGTTTGGTGGCGTTCACAGGTCACAGGACAGATAATCCTGGTCGGAGGATTTTTTGCAGGACGATGGGACCCTCACCAAGGACACTTGTACTACAATCCCCTGCAACTTATTTTGGTACAGAGTCCCACAAGACGAGAGATCCCTATAGGCCCAGCGAATCACCTATGAGCAGTCCCGCATGGCAGGTTTCACCAAGCTCAAGCAGGCTTTGCTGGAGTGTCACGCAATTCGCTGGAAAGTAGCCTTCCATCAGACCCTAGACGCCCGGTTACCTATATATTGGGTTCCTGTCATTGGTTCCCTATATAAACTTATACTATCTATATGGGTACCTGGGCTTCTAGGGAGAGTTATCTGGAGTATCGATCTGAGACCTGGCTCTTCTCGGCCTTGCCCTGCCAGCAAGGAACTGGTTGCCACAAGCTATGGTCACTAATTACTGCTGTTAACACTCCCACCTGTGTTGCCGGAGCCACCACCACCACCACCAACACCACCTAGTTCTGATCACCATATGAGCTGTAGTCTAAACTCCTTAAAAGGGGTGATATAGGGGATTATATAGGGGAGTGTTATAGGGCTTATTAAGGGGGATACTAGGAGTTTAGACTACAGCTCATATATCGTGGGGATGATGGGGATGACCTCACTGGCCGGCTCGCTGGAGAGGCGTACACCGTCCTCAATGACGAGCAATTGCGTGCTGTGTCTTCGGCTCAGCAATGGTATGCCAGGGGTGCTAGGGCAGTACAGAAGGTTTTGGCATGTGTCCACAGCACACGACAAGACTGTGACAAGGATACACGTGTTGCACATGGTACTGGCACACTACAGCATCACAGTCATGCAGTGATGATGGTGATGCTGCTGCTGATGATGGTGATGGTGCGGGTGACGGTGATAATGGTATTTTAAGCAACAGTAGTAGTGAGAGGAGCAGTTGAGGGAGTTCTAATAGGAGAGGCGTGGGAGGAGGAGCAGGGGCAGGGGTACAAGCAGGAGGGGCGGCGGCTTCAGGAGGATCTCCAGCAAAATCAGCTGGTGTTGTTGGTTGAGCTGCTGGTGCTGCCCATTCTGCTGTCTCTGCTGTCACAAACAAAGATGCTACAATTTCTGCGTGCATGTACAATGATGACCGTCATCAGTACATATTACACAGCCTGTTTAGCTGTCAGCCCTCTGTTTATGACAGTCTTTTGCGCTCATGTTCACCTTTGCCCTCGTGGACCATATTTATGGCTCCGTGCACGATGCTTGTGTTTTTTTCTGCTGTAAACTGCCCTAAACCCTAAACTGCGTTTATGGCCCTATCATACGAAGAGGTCGCCTGCGCTCATGGCACACATCACTGCACTCCTGTCACATGGAACTATCCATCAGGTTCCTAGCTTACAGGCACACGTATGAATGTGGCATCTGAACACTGTAAAGCCTCGTGGAAGGTCATACACCTAGTTGTCAACTCTGTGTAAAAGCCACCTTCTGCAAGGATCATTTATTTTCTCCCCACACAAGGACTCCGGCTGTCTGAACTACTGCTACAGTGCCAAGAGTGTTTAGGGTTCAGGGCAAACCCTAAATCCTGCAAGGTATAGACAGCACTGCTTTGGCATTGCTGGTTCTGGAGGTTGTGCTCCCCAAGGCAGTCTGCGATGTGCTGACAAGTGAAGCCGACAGAGCGTTGTTTGAGCGTTGTTTCAGCATGTTTCGGCAGGGACCCTGAACCCTATGCCAATTTCAGCTGTAGGCTAAACTCCTTAAAGGGGGCCTTATAGGGGAGTATTGTTGGGGTTATATTCCGGGAGATACTAGGAGTTTAGACTACGTATAACCCATTTTGCGGCAATATCAGTCCCCTGTGCTGCTAATTACTCCTTCAGGCTCACCAACGCTCCAGCTGTTTTCAATTTCCATTCTTGAGCGCACCACTCTTAGCATGCTATTTGCAGCTGCAAGCCCCCTGCTGGAGGTCATGAAACTGCCTTGAGCAAAGCTCTGGAAATGGCCCGAGAGTTGAGAAAGATGGGCGAGGAGAGAGCTCTGGTGCTGTACAAGGCACGGCTGCAGATCGGTGAGCCTGAGCCTCTCATGCCTTAGGCGAGCTGCATGTTACAGCCAGCTGGCGTCATGTTTGCACTTGCTTTGTGCTTGTGTGCCCGCGGTAGATGCTAAGGCGAGCCGTCCAAGTATAGTAGTTACTTTGCTTGCAATTCTGCTTCTGTTGTTGCGATGGCTCAGCAATTTGTAGCCAGCAACTATCGTACACTCCTCCCGCTTTGTTCGTGAAACATGTCGGTGAAGCCCATCCGAGAGCATGCGGGAAAGAGCCTGCTCGAGAAGTACCTGCCAGAGGTCTCCGGCGGCAAGCACAAGATGGGATGCGCCGGTGTCCTCGTGACTCCGACTGTGCTCGACAGCACCAGCGGACAAACCTGGGACACCATCCTGCAGGAGAACCCGTGGTTGAAGACCACCAACCTTGTGGCCAAGCCGGATCAGCTCATCAAGCGTCGTGGAAAGGCAGGCCTCATCGCTGTGAACAAGACTTTTGACGAGGCCAAGCAGTGGGTCATGGATCGCATGTGCAAGGAGCAGCAGGTGGAGCACGTCACGGGGCAGTTGAACCACTTCCTGATCGAGCCTTTTGTGCCTCACAAGCAGGAGCAGGAGCACTACATCTGCATGCTTTCCCACCGCTACCATGACGAGATCCTGTTCTACCACGAGGGCGGCGTGGATGTAGGCGATGTGGACGCCAAGGCAGAGAAGTTGGAGCTGCCGTTCGGCGAGAAGCTGACCGAGGCCATTGTCTTGGAGAAGCTGTTGAGCAAGATGCCAGCTGCGAAGAAAGCCAACATGGCATCCTTCGTCCTCAGCCTGTACAAGTTCTACACAGACCTGCATTTCGCGTACCTTGAGATCAACCCCTTGGTCATGCTGGATGACAACACGGTGATCCCGCTCGACATGGCGGCCAAGATCGATGAGACAGCGAACTTCCTCTGCGCGCAGAAGTGGGGAGAGCTTGACTGGCCTCCTCCTTTCGGCCGTGCGGCCTACCCAGAGGAGGCGCTCATCCGCGACATGGACGGCCGGACTGGCGCGTCCTTGAAGCTGACCATCCTCAACGAGAAGGGCAGGGTTTGGACGATGGTTGCCGGCGGAGGTGCCTCCGTCGTCTACGCCGACACCGTGGCAGACTATGGCATGGGCAGCGAGCTCGCGAACTACGGTGAGTACTCCGGAGCTCCTTCCACGGAGGAGACCTTTGTCTATGCCAAGACCCTGCTTTCGTTGATGATGAAGTACCTGGGCTCTAGTTATTTTTTCCTGTCCTGCAGCATCAAAGTTGCCACGCCAAAACCTTGGAGGCGCACTTCCGAACAGGATGAAAGGCCCTTGTTGTATTACACCGCAGAATGCTGCGTTTGATGCTATGCTTGTCAAGTACCGGCTATATAGTGACTAGTGGTGAAAGCAAGCATGACCAAGCATGGCCCCATTCTTGTAACCATGATCACAAATAGCCTTCACCTCCACCTTTACTTCCACCACCACAACCGCCGCCAACTCAAGCATCATCACCACTGTCACCATTTGCCTCCTCATTCTCATCCTCCTCATCATCATCATTCTCATTCTCATCATCGTCATCATCATAATACCCTAAACCCGTAAACCCTAAACCCTAAACTCCTAAACCCTAATAATCCCTGAAACACGGTCCAGCGACACCATATCCCCATACCTAGGACTACCAGGGTCCGGCATCACCTTATTCCGTTGGAAAGTGGGTCAACTCACTCAGCCCGAGGAAAACAGGAAGTTTCACCCTCAGCCCACCTACTTAAGCCAATGCAGCAAATTGGTCTGTTTACTACCAGCACTCTCAGTACTCGAAGCTTCACCGCGCCCAGCAGCGCGTTTCAGGGATCGTGCTGCAATAGCATCCTAAGGACTCGTGCCTTGGAGAAAAGGCACCATAAACAAAAAGAAAACAAAAAACCACTAATAATCATTATCCACTCAAGGTACAAGCATCCTGACGGCAAGTTCCTGATTATTGGCGGCGGCATCGCCAACTTCACGGATGCTGGGTTGCTGTTAAGAAACTTAAATTAAGTTACCATAATGGGTATATATAGTCATTTATAGGGTTTCCCCAATATAGTAACTTAAATTAAGTTCCCCAATATAGTAACTCAAATTAAGTTCCCCAATATAGTAACTCAAATTAAGTTCCTTAACAGCAACCCAGGATGTGGCGGCCACCTTCACCGGCCTCATCAAGGCTCTGCAGGAGTACGCCGAAGACATCAAGGCCTGAGCCTCCCAATGGCCATAGTAGTCCCCCTTAAGTAGATAGAATATAGGGATCATGGAAAAGAAAATGGAAACTACATGAAACTACTATAGTTTATTGGGGTTATATAGAATTATATAGGGATAGAGTCCTCCTTAAGTAGATAGAATATGGCTTTGGGTAGATTGTAATAAGGTCCCCATATACCCCATATGCTATCTACTTCAGGGGGACTATATGACGATGGGGTCATGCAGAGGGGAGGATTCACTAGTCTTCCCGAGAATTTGATGAGCTTGGAGTATACTTCTTCTGCGGTTGGTATGAATGTTCAAGGTCAGCGGCGCTCTGAAAGTATACCAGACGCCAAACCCTATAACTTCATTATGGAAGCTGATCCTTGGGAGATTCTTATTTTGGATCTTGGTGGATCAGATGACTTTTGCGATGCGCGTATTGCAATCCGAGTCCTTGCGTCTTCCCCACCAGCTTGTAAGCTCCTGTGTGAGGAGCACAAGATCAAGATTCTGATTCGACGTGCTGGACCCAACTACTTGGAAGGCCTTCGAAAGGCGGGAGCTTCCCAACCTCCAGGGGTCCCAGGATGTCTTTGTTTGTTCAGGGTTAGACATGTTTGTTTGCTTGGGTTCTAGCACTCCTCTACAAAGATCCTGTTATGACAGATTCCCTTGCAGCACTCAAACTCCCACCCAGTCATGTTTCCCGTAATTGCGCACTTCGACTGGGAAGCATTAGGATGCCAACAGGGAAGGATTACGCTCAGGGATCACAGAAGGCATTGAGCATTTTTACCCAAATACTTCCGTCCCGAGTTAACCAAGTTTTTGGATATGTGGAGCGTCCTTAGCTTTATAACGGGGATTCCTCATTTGCAAGGAAACCTCTTTGTTTGTAAGGTATTCATGTTTTGATAACTGAGCTTAAGTTTCTCAACGACGGTCCAGCTAAACTTTTATGAGGGAGAAAACCCCCTGAAGCCTTCGGCAATCTAAGAAGCACAACACAGATACTCATGACCCGTAGTCAGCCAGCAGTCCTTGTCATAATCCAATGCGGGAATCACCTTAGGCCTTAGAACCCTGAACCCGACACCTTAAACACAAATAACATAATCCTAGGCCCTACACCTACCCTCTACTAGGGCCTAAGCAAACCCCCCCCCCCTCCACCCGTTACGGGCCATATATCCCCACTTAAAACTACTGGGAGAGTCTTGACTCTAAACCAAGCCAGCAGCCGAAAGTGGGATCTTGACTCTAAACCAAGCCAGCAGCCGAAAGTTCCCACGCCCTAAACCCTAGACCCAAAGCTCTAAACCCTTAGCTCTAAATCCAAAGCCTCAAATCCTAAGCCTAAGCCTTCCTAAGCTCTAAGCCCCAAACGGTTCAGGTGAAGGCTGCCAGCGACAAGCTGGGCTTGGGAATCAAGGCTGATACCTCAGGGAACCCGAGCCATATAGGCCTTCAAGGTACGGTGGATGATGTAGGGGTTACTTATGTATTGGAAAAGCACACGAAACTGCAGTTTAGGGCGTGAAATTCCTGTCCAATCCTCTTTTACAGTGTCTTTTCAAGCTGGTCTTTGGCTGCTTCAAGCCCAGTATCGATTTGTGCAGGCTCTGCCAAGAGTAGTTGTTGAGGCTTTCGGGTGGAGCCTGGAAAGCCTGCCTGTTTGGGGTTTGGGACCCAAATAACAGGGTTTTAGGGCTCAAATACCATTAACATTATAGCATTTGGGCCCTAAAACCCTATTATTTGGGTCCTTGGACCCTTAGGGTTACATCCCAAGCTCCGCTAAATTCTCAGGTCTACGGCCCGGAGACCCACATCACGGCAGTCATCCCCATGGCTCTGGGCAAGATCCAGGCCGAGTAGACTAGGAAGCCAATCAGGGTTCAGGGTTTAGGGCTTGGAATTCTTGAGGATATTGTACGGTTTAATTAAGATTTGTGAGTATACCAGGTAAAGGAATTAGGGGCAGTACTCCAGCGCCATAAGAATGGAGAATCAAGACTGGGATCAACTAGGGTGTATTGTGGTATAGTCCTCCTTAAGTAGATAGAATGATGGGTATGTGGGGATCTGTAATATGGGTTAATTCCATATTCTATTTGCTTAAGGGGGACTATATGTGTAATTGGTGGGTACTTGTGGGGTTCCCCTCCCTGCCCCTAAACCCTGCCAGCCCGCCTGCACACCCCTCCCCAAGGTTTCCCATTGACTAGCCATCAGATACCATCATGGTAGTTTCCAATTTCTTTTCCATTATCCAATATTCGGGTGGGATAATATAATATGGGGTAATATTGGGATAGTAGAAAAGAACATGGAGACTACTATTATGGGTTATATAGTGGTTATTACGGCGATGGGGGTGGGGGGGGGGGTAGTATGGGCGTGGGTAGTATGGGAACCCCTGAAATCATGAACAAGTTATGCAACTTATAGCCAGTCCCTATCCCAAGTAATAGCCAACAACCCAATTCACAACCAACCTCAAACCACCTTCCAGCCAAGGTAAAGCCAACTGCAAGCTACTACCAACCAAGGTTACGACTCGAGCCCCCTTTCTGAAATACAATGTCTATGGGCCGTTTGGCCTTTACCACTTAACCATACCCTAAGGGTCCAAAGACCCAAATAATGAGGCTTTGGGGCCGAAATACCGTTCATATTATAGTATTTGGGCCCTAAAACCTTATTTTTGGGGTCCTTGGACCCTTAGGGATAAACTGACTGGATCATCCAAGCTGACGCACAGCCGCGCGGCTGCGTCACACAAGGATGTTGGACTCAGTCACAGGAAGTCTCTGCCTCAGCCCCAAATCACATATCTTGAGCCCACAACCCAAACCGGAAGCCCCAGACCCTAAAGCCCAAGCCCTACCTGAACCCCCAAAGTAGGTAAAACAATTGCCCAAAAGACAATGATTGGACCCTAGACCCTTAAAACCCTAGGCCCTCAAACCCCAAACCCTAAGAACCCTGAAAACCTTAAGAACCCTAAACACCCTAATCCCTAAGAACCTTACAAACACTAAACCCTAAGAACCCTAAACCCTAAGAACCCAAAAACCCTAAACCCTAAGAACCTTACAAACCCTAAACCCTAAGAACCCTAGACCCCAAGAACCCAAAAACCCTAAACCCTCACAACCTTACGAACCCTAAACTCTAAGAACGCTAAACCCTAAGAACCCCAAAACCCTAAGCCCTCAGAACCTTACAAACCCTAAAACCTAAGCACCCTAAAGCCTCCACCAGGCACTGCCAGAGCCCGACCTCTCTGCGCCCTGCGGCCCTCCAGCTGGGCGCTCAGGGGGCTTAAGGGCGGGCAGGGGATGGTCATGGGTTTAGGGGTTTAGGGGTATAGCGGTTTGGGGTTTAGGGGATTGGGGGTTAGCATTTAGGGGTTCAGGGTTTAGGGGTTTAGGGTTTAGGGGGCGACGAAAATCCAATTGGGAGTTGGATAAGGTTCTTCTACAGATCCTTCATTTCCACCATCAAAATGAGAGATCCGTTTGACCTCTGGGGGACCGCGAAATGTGGGCGACCTTTTTTGGCGAGTTCCTTTCGGTACCTTAAATCCAAGCACATGGTAGTGTCCCAAACAAGGGGGAACCAGGGAGCCCAGTACAAGCCCCAAAAATCTGTCAATGCTTATATGGGTACGCCCAGGAAAGGAAGCCCCCCAATGCCTTGGTCATTCTACCTCAACCCTAAACCTCCCATCCAACAAGCTTTGTACCTACTTCAGGTTCGCAAGATGATTGACCTCAAGGGCAAGAAGTGTCTCCGGCAAAATTGCAAGACCCTCCTTGTACCCATTTAATTGGGGATATATATGTACATACACACGCAGATAGAGGGGTATATACGGGAATGGTAAAGAACATGGAAACTACTACGTTGTTTAGGGTTCAGGGTCCTTGTGCCCTTAATTTGGTATACATGGCCCCTAGAGAGAGAAAGAGAGATCTATCTGTATATATATATATATGTGTATATACATACACACACGCACAAAAAACTTGTCGTTGATTTCTTCTTGGTGACATCCATGGCCATGTCTTGCCACAGGGGCGATCTTCCCTGCGCCAGGCCAACTCCTAAGGGCCATCCCGCGCCTCCCGCAGGCGCGGTGTGGTTGAGAATGGGTTGCTGTTCGGGAACTTACATGTTCTATAGTTTAAACTCCTTAAAAGGGGCAGGGGGGTGTTAGAGGGGATGCTGGGAGTTTAGACTATGAGTTACCATAGCAAGGAAAGCAGGCAATCTGCCCCTGATTATGTTAGCTTACAATAAGCTTCTTAACAGCAACACGGGAGCTGCTTATGAAGGTGAAAGTTTCTGAAATACTCTACTAGAGACGGACGAGACCTGTCCCTACATATTCTTGCATCGTCACCATGTACCCGTAGATGTTACTTGAGGTAGTTAAGAGGGGACGAAACTCTTGATTGATGTAATGTGTGGCCCAAAATTGAAGGCGTATGCTGCGTTTGTTTGGAATGATCAAACGCCGACGGCGGATCTGATACTTTGGAGCGAGGATTGACCTTTCATTAGAGCCATGTAATGCTTTGCTCTGTTCTCCCTGCCGCTGTTGCGGCACCGATGCCTTATCTGCATGCACATCTAGCAGCATCATCCTTTTCTTCTACCTTCTTTAATAATCCTCCTGTCAAATCCTCCTTGCCAACGCTCCTGAAGTGTTTGCCGCTTTCTTGTGTAGACCGCCCAACCAACCAGCTATTCACACTGCCACTCCTGCTGGTGTAGCGGGAAGCTGAAAAATTCGCCTTCTTCCTCCTGCTGCTCCGGCCGCCGCTGCTCCACCCATTCCTCTCCATAGCCCGCACGAGCACAGGCACGAAGCACACGCTCGTCACAGCGACGCCGCGGCCCTATGTTCTCAGCTGCTGTGCATAGATCAAACAGTTTGGACCTTCTCGCGTTTCTTGAGAGCTTGAGAGGCTTTACAGTGCCCATTGCTGATGAGGTTTGCGCGGAAACCATAGTCATAGCAGTCTCCATTGACCGGGCCGTGCTGTTGCCAAGGCCGGAGACGACTTCGATCGTGTACGGCATGCAGAACCGTGCGGTGCAAGGCCTTTGGACATGGCATGCGGCAGGGGAGGCTTTGAGGTTTAAGGCTTCTGTGCCACCCTGCCTTCAAGCATACAGCCCTCAACGTCAGGGTGAAACTGCCCAAGCTTGAGGAACACAGTGATTGGACTGCTCCACGGGGGTTCGCAATCATGAAGCATGTCTCTTGTTGAGCTTGAAAAGAGATGTCGGATCAAGAGCTTGTTTCGCCACACTGCTCAGGCATGTTGGATTTTGACTTCATGTGCAAGCGTTTCTCGGCAGCAACGCAGTCTCAGTGTGGGGGGTGGGCTGAACCCTGTAGTTTCAATGGATTATGCAGTACCTTTTCTAGAAAGGTTTCAGGGATCTAGTGGAGAGAAAAGACTGGCGTAGTTGTCCTTTCATTGGTTGTATACAGACAAGGACACGCTAGTGAGTTTGGAGAATCTAGTAGGCCGGTCCTTTTCGCTTCCGAAGCTGCGAGAGACTCAATCTTGTTATGTGTAGGAGTTTCATTACAATGACCTTCAGCAAGCATGCCGGACGTAAACTTCTAGATACACTAAGCCAAAGACCAAGCATTCTGAACATCCGCACATAGGCATTCTTTCGGGACCCTGCCCACCTATGCCCTGACACCTGAAGACTAATCTGCAATGTGACACGAGCTGTAGTCTAAACTCCTTAAACGGGGTTATATAGGGAATATATAAGGGACTACTATCCGGTTTATTAAGGGGGATACTAGGAGTTTAGACAATGGCTCACGTTGTCGGGAAATGTCCGCTTTTGAAAGTCTCAATCGCCCGAGGCAAGAAGCCGTCCGTGGATGCCATGGTTTTCCCATTCTCTGGCTCCTTGAATGCACTAATACTAAATACGCCCACCAGCCCCTAGTATTAAAGATGGCCCCCAGTACATAAGGTCTCTTATGGGACAAGAGTTAATGTTCGGGGGTGGGGGTTGTATTTAACATTATCATGAAGTGATTATTGATTTGGGGTTTGGAGCTTGGGGCGCTCAAAGTTCAGGGTTTGGGATCCTGCGTTGAGGGTTTAGGGGTTAATGGACTGGGATTTGGGCTTTACAGGCGTCGAGTTTAAGGACAATGGGGAACTGCCACAGGATTTTGCTTGACATGAGGAATTGTGTGGAGGGATTATGGCACACACGTTATATGCATTCAAGAAGAGCACATGGGTTGCTGCTAGGACCTGTGGGTACCTGTTCCACCTGAACCACAGGAGTATGTAGAATTACAGCTTGTGTGTCTCCTTTTATGGGTTTATGTGCCATTGTTTTACCTATCTTGGTGTCCAGGCATAGGCGTGAGAAGGAGGCACTAGAGCCAGCAAGTGACAGCCAGCCAAGGAAACCACTACGCACCTTGGATGCAATGAGTTTCTTGAGCAGTTTGGTGATGATTTGTGCAGCGCAGTACACGATGCAAGTCCTCCCTCTAAGAGATGAAGCTGCAAAACAAATTTCACGAAACGTCCAAGTAGCATGAACGTTGTCATCATTGTCGTTCCTTTCCCTCTCACCCTCGCCCACAACAGTTGCGTGGTGTGTGTGTGTGCGTGTGCGTGTGCGTGTGCGTGTGCGTGTGCGTGCGCGTGTGGGTGTGTGTGTGTGTGTGTGTGTGTGCAAAAGTGTGTGTGTGTGTGTGTG